TACCCCTAGGTTCTTCATGACCATTTTTTTTTCTTAAATTCCATATATATGTGTTAGCATACGGTATTTGTCTTTCTCTTTCTGACTTACTTCACTCTGTATGACAGACTCTAGGTCCATCCACCTCGCTACAAATAACTCAATTTTGTTTCTTTTTATGGCTGAGTAATATTCCATTGTATATATGTGCCACATCTTCTTTATCCATTCATCCGATGATGGACACTTAGGTTGCTTCCATCTCCTGGCTATTGTAAATAGAGTTGCAATGAATATTTTGGTACATGAGTCTTTTTGAATTATGGTTTTCTCAGGGTATATGCCCAGTACTGGGATTGCTGGGTCATATGGTAGTTCTATTTGTAGTTTTTTAAGGAACCTCCATACTGTTCTCCATAGTGGCTGTATCAATTTACATTCCCAGCAGTGCAAGAGTGTTCCCTTTTCTCCACACCCTCTCCAGCATTTATTGTTTCCAGATTTTTTGATGATGGCCATTCTGACTGGTGTGAGATGATAGCTCATTGTAGTGTTTTTTGTTTTTTGTTTTTTGCGGTACGTGGGCCTCTCACTGTTGTGGCATCTCCCGTTGCGGAGCACAGGCTCCGGACGTGCAGGCTCAGTGGCGATGGCTCACAGGCCCAGCCACTTCACGGCATGTGGGATCTTCCCGGACTGGGGCACAAACCTGTGTCCCCTGCATCGGCAGGCGTACTCTCAACCACTGCGCCACCAGGGAAGCCCCTCATTGTAGTTTTGATTTGCATTTCTCTAATGATTAGTGATGTTGAGCATCGTTTCATGTGTTTGTTGGCAATCTATATATCTTCTTTGGAGAAATGTCTATTTAGGTATTCTGCCCATTTTTGGATTGGATTGTTTGTTTTTTTGTTACTGAGCTGCATGAGCTGCTTGTAAATTTTGGAGATTAATCCTTTGTCAGTTGCTTCATTTGCAAATATTTTCTCCCATTCTGAGCATTGTCTTTTGGTCTTGTTTATGGTTTCCTTTGCTGTGCAAAAGCTTTGAAGTTTCGTTAGGTCCCATTTGTTTAGTTTTGTTTTTATTTCCATTTCTTTAGGAGGTGGGTCAAAAAGGATCTTGCTGTGATTTACGTCATAGAGTGTTGTGCCTATGTTTTCCTCTAAGAGTTTGATAGTTTCTGGCCTTACATTTAGGTCTTTAATCCATTTTGAGCTTATTTTTGTGTATGGTGTTAGGGAGTGTTCTAATCTCATACTTTTACATGTACCTTTCCAGTTTTCCCAGCGCCACTTATTGAAGAGGCTGTCTTTTCTCCACTGTATATTCTTGCCTCCTTTATCAAAGATAAGGTGACCATATGTGTATGGGTTTATCTCTGGGCTTTCTATCCTGTTCCATTGATCTATATTTCTGTTTTTGTGCCAGTACCATACTGTCTTGATTACTGTAGCTTTGTAGTATAGTCTGAAATCAGGGAGCCTGATTCCTACAGCTCCATTTTTTGTTCTCAAGACTGCTTTGGCTATTCTGGGTCTTTTGTGTTTCCATATGAATTGTGAAAAGTTTTGTTCTAGTTCTGTGAAAAATGCCATTGGTAGTTTGATAGGGATTGCATTGAATCTGTAGATTGCTTTGGATAGTACAGTCATTTTCACAGTGTTGATTCTTCCAATCCAAGAACATGGTATATCTCTCCATTTATTTGTATCATCTTTAATTTCTTTCATCAGTGTCTTATAATTTTATGCATACAGGTCTTTTGTCTCCTTAAGTAGGTTTATTCCTAGGTATTTGATTCTTTTTGTTGCAATGGTAAATGAGAGTGTTTTCTTAATTTCACTTTCAGATTTTTCATCATTAGTGTATAGGAATGCCAGAGATTTCTGTGCATTAATTTTTTATCCTGCTACTTTACCAAATTCATTGATTAGCTCTAGTAGTTTTCTGGTAGCATCTTTAGGATTCTCTATGTATAGTATCATGTCATCTGCAAACAGTGACAGCTTTACTTCTTCTTTTCTCATTTGTATTCCTTTTATTTCTTTTTCTTCTCTGATTGCTGTGGCTAAAACTTCCAAAACTATGTTGAATAATAGTGGTGAGAGTGGGCAACCTTGTCTTGTTCCTGATCTTACTGGAAATGCTTTCAGTTTTTCACCATTGAGGATGATGTTGGCTGTGGGTTTGTCATATATGGCCTTTATTATGTTGAGGAAAGTTCCCTCTATGCCTACTTTCTGCAGGGATTTTATTATAAATGGGTGTTGAATTTTGTCAAAAGCTTTCTCTGCATCTATTGAGAAGATCATATGGTTTTTCTCCTTCAATTTGTTAATATGGTGTATCACTTTGATTGATTTGCATATATTGAAGAATCCTTGCACTCCTGGAATAAACACCACTTGATCATGGTGTATTATCCTTTTAATATGCTGTTGGATTCTGTTTGCTAGTATTTTGTTGAGGATTTTTGCATCTATGTTCACCAGTGATATTGGCCTGTAGTTTTCTTTCTTTGTGACATCTTTGTCTGGTTTTGGTATCAGGGTGATGGTGGCCTCGTAGAATGAGTTTGGGAATGTTCCTCCCTCTGCTATATTTTGGAAGAGTTTGAGAAGGATAGGTGTTAGCTCTTCTCTAAATGTTTGATAGAATTCACCTGTGAAGCCATCTGGTCCTGGGTTTTTGTTTGTTGGAAGATTTTTAATCACAGTTTCAATTTCAGTGCTTGTGATTGGTTTGTTCATATTTTCTATTTCTTCCTGGTTCCGTCTTAGCAGGTTGTGCATTTCTAAGAATTTGTCCATTTCTTCCAGGTTGTCCATTTTATTGGCATAGAGTTTTTCCAAGAGAGATAACACACATCAAGGTATTTTTGAACCCTTATCATCCTTCATTAGTTTTTCATTATCACCCTATGTGAGTTTTCTAAATTAGTGTGAAATAACAACCAGGATGGATGGGAAAATGGGTTTTAATAAATTCTGGGAAGTTAATGCTGTGAAGAGTCTGATCCCTGTGAGGAGAATATATCTGCGGTGCTGTGGTCTGAATGTGTCCCTCCAAAATTCATATGTTGAAATACTAATCCCCAAGGTGATGGCAATAGAAAGTGGGGCCTTTGGGAGATGATCAGTTCATCCCATCCCGTGAATGGGATTAGTGCCCTTATAAGAAGAGACCAGAAAGGGCTCCCTTGTCCCTTCCAACCTGTAAAGTTACAGCAAAAAGGCAGCCACCCAGAAAGCAGGTTCTCAGCAGGCAGAGAATATGCCGGCACCTTGATCTTGGACTTCCAGCCTCCAGAAGTGTGAGAAATAAATTTATGTTGTTTATAAACCTCTTGGTCTCTGGTGTTTTGTTATAGCAGCCCAGACTTGCATCAGTAGAGGATGGACTAGGAGCTTTAGAAAACTAGAAGGAAAGGAGGAAGCCCCTGCTGGCCAAGCAGGGATAAATGGTTAAAAGAGAAAACAGAAGTTTTAACTGAGGATGAAGGGGAGGGAGGGAGAGAGGAAGGAGGGAAAGAGGAAAGGAAGCTATTAACATCTATGGAGTTCTGACCCCAGGTACTCTTCCCTGAATGTTTTGTTCTGGGTGATTTTAGTCTGTCAGCAAATATTTCTTGAGTCCTACCATATGCCAGGCATTGGCAAACTGTAATAAACAAGGAGGCAGCATCCCTACTCTCATGGATCTTATATTCTAGAAGGGAAGACAGACACTGGGCATACCGTTACACCCAATTAATTGATAGCAAGTGGATAATAACTGCAGTGAAAAATATGTACAGAGCTTTACAAGTATATATATAACCCACCTACTCAAGTCTGAGGGCTGAGATAAGGCTTTCCCAACAAAGCAACCTTGAAGCCAAGGCACCATCTTTTATAAAAACTGCAGCAGGGGTGTCAGGATTCCCCAAATGATCATGCTTGTCATGTTCACAGAAAATTCAGAACGAGAAAATCAGTTACCCAAGATCATGGTGAAGAGGTGGGATTCAAACCCAGGTTACCTTACATGTTTTCAATAAATGTAAAGCATAAAGTAACCATTTTACATTATTTTCTAGAGGTATCCCTGTCACAGGGTGTTTTAACTAGGTAAACTACATTGTTTCAAATAAGTAAAATACATTGTACAAAATTCTAAATATTCTGTGAAAAGTGGCTCTTCCTCCCTGCCTTGTCCCCCTGGCTCCCTTCTCTGCAGGCAAAGCCAGTCAAGTTTCTGGTGTATCCATCCAGAGGTATTTTCAATACTTGCAGCACTGACTTTGTGCCAGGTACTTTTCAAAGTGTTTTACAAATGTTTACTTGTTTAATCCCGATAATAATTTTATGTGGCAAATAGAATTATTAACTCCATTTTTCATGTTTACGCATATTTTTCCACACAAATGTTTTAGATTTTAAGTGCACACCACACTTTGAGATGCTTCTCCCTGTGTGCTAGTCAGCTTTTGCTTTGGTAATATCATGTAACAAACAAGTACAAAATCTTAGTGGCTTCATGACAAACATTTATATCATACTTGTAACTCAGCTGTGGCTCAGTTGCGCTTGGCTCCAAACTGGAGGTCAGACTTGTGTCTGCTTCATGCATCTCTCCTTCCAGAATCTTGGCTGAGGGTGTATTGCCCACTAGAGAGATCTTCATGCCAAGTAGCAGGAGCATAAGAGGGAAGTGGAAACATACAATACCTTCATAAACCTCCACCCTGAAGTGAAGGATGTTCTCCTCCATGCACAGTCCATTAGTCAAAGAGAATCACATGGCCAAATCCAAACTCTGTGGGTCAGGAAACTATATATGGCAAGTGCAAGGAGAGAACACAAACTTTTGAATGAAGTTATCTAATCTACACACCCTAAAAATACAAATTCTATCTTTTGCTACTGATATATAGAGGAAGAATTGAAAAGATAGAACTCTGAATGAATTACTAATTTTCCTATGGTCTTCTGCTGGCGACATATAAATAGCTCCCTGTTTCTGTTTGCATTTCTCAGGTTTTCCACCATGTTTGGAAAGAAAAAGAAAAAGATTGAAATATCTGGCCCATCCAACTTTGAACACAGGGTTCATACTGGGTTTGATCCACAAGAACAGAAATTTACCGGCCTTCCCCAGCAGTGGCACAGCCTGTTAGCAGACACGGCCAACAGGCCGAAGCCCATGGTAGACCCTTCGTGCATCACTCCCATCCAGCTGGCTCCCATGAAGGTATGGCGAGGATTCTGTCTTTAAGTTGCCTTGAGAAGCATGCTCTCTCATTTGATGCAGTGAGCCATCTTTACGGGCGAGCTATCAAATGTGTAAATCATGTATTTGTTTTTAAATATCCACAGATTATCCACAATCATCTTCAATGAGTATAATGTTCACCACTTAATTTTCATGTAAATTGCAACACATAAAAAGGAACCTCAGCTTTCAGATGTGAGGTTTTTTTCATCAGACTCATACAATACAGTCACAAAATAGGAAATTTTCATTTCTACTTTTAATGGTGTTTGTTCTTTATACTAAAGAATATTATCCACCCACTCTGGTAAATATTGGCAATAATCTCTGAGTAGACATTGTGTTAGGCAGCTTTGTGTTGTTTTACATTTGCCCTCAGAATGTCTAAACTTTTATATAAATAGTAATAACAGTTTTTAACAATAATAAATGATTTATATATGTGTACACACATACATGCATATGCGTATATGCTTTATATATAAAATCAAATATATATTTATAAGTATATATGTATAAATTATATGTATATAGTCTTCATAGTCTAAGAGCTATTTCAAATAAAAGATGAAGCATTTGAGTCCTAGAATAGGCTATAATTTACCTTAAAAAATAGCTAGTAGATTTTTAAAAGGAATGTTCATCAAAATAATTGCATTAAAGTCGAACTCAGACCCAATACATTTCAGATATGTCAAGAGACTACAAAGAAAGTCCAGCCTTTGCAGTTTCCTTCTGCACCTCAGAATGATAAGAATTCCCTGGGTCATTTCCCAAAAGCTCCCTATGGGAGTTAAACATCATTGAAGCTTATCATCATGTTATCCAATAGATTAGATTTATATTAGTAGGCATCTGAGCTACATAAACACCTTATTCTGTATTAACAGGCATATTGAATACACTGAGTTTAAATGATACATAAAACAACAGTGGATGCATTTTTAAAGGGAGTAAAGAAGGAACCTATCTGGTAAATTACAAGAAATTCTTATAAGAGACCACCTGAGTTGAGTAAGTTGGAATTGTGATTCCATCATTTATGCATGGTCTTGGCCATTCTATTCTAGTATTGAACATGTGGGTCTCTTCTGCCCAAAGATCTATACAGAGTGTTCTAATCCTGCATCTTGTGAATCTGATGTTCTGATAAGATTTTGAAAGTTTTCAAGCCAGCTAAAATGTAAAATACCAAGGAAATAGATATTTGAGAAGATAAAACTTTAGGGACAAAAAGGAACCTCTTATTCTAAGCAGGTATTGATTGATATTTAATAGAAACTGACCAATTAACCAACTCAACTGGTTAATATTAGGCAGTATCTTACTACTGAACATGATTTTCTTCCGAAATAAAGACTAATGCCTCACTAATGACTAAATAATAGGCTGGGCCTTAGCTAAAAGAAGTTGAGATTGGAAAGAATTTGCTTTTTAGTTTCATTATTTTTCTCATATTCCAAGTTTTTATAAAACCCAGAAAACAGAAGACACAGTGTGCCCAGAAAAGTTATCTGCTATTGATCAACATGACAAAGGAAAACTGCCCAAATGAAACAAGGGCTATTTTTTTACCCTTGAGTATAATCATTTGATGAGGAACATTCTGGAAGAAAGTAGTTAAAGGCCCATGATGTGCTTTCATATCAGGGAGTGTGGTTATTACAGGGTCAGGATAGAGTACCATTTATTTCACCATGGTTTTTCACTTGTCCAGGTCCTAGAAGGTCCTGGCTGGCAGTGAAGTAGGAATCTCCCATCTCAGTGATAATCCACCATGGTCAGTGGATGTAGGACTTAAGAGAACCTTCTAGCTCATTTCTTCCATCTCCTGGATGGGCTGGCTCATTATCCTCTCAGACTTAATTTATGAGCCTCACTGATTGGAGCAAGATTTCCTAACTGCTGAGCTCCTGAGCCCAGTGATTCTCTTACTCACGTCATAAGCTTCCTAGCCCTGATGCCAAATGTGTGAGTATCCAGTCTGCATGAAACGTGAATGTTGGTTTTAGACACTTAAATGCTAACAGAAAGATGTCTGGAAAATACATCTCGAGTATGCATCCAGTCCTGGATTTCTGAAAATTTCAGGCACAGTTTTACCTGCAAGAAAAAAATAAAAACAGACAAGGAGTGACAAAACAAGAGTCAGCTAGGTTGAATTTTCCCCAGAAAGAGTGGAGCTAATTAAATACTTTCTAACTGAAGGACCCCCAAGAAATCCATATTTCATACTCTCACCAAACTCCTTTAGATAGAGCCTCTCTTTCTCCAAATCCCATGAATGCAGTTGGTGCTGTCAGCACATATTGAATCGGGGTCCAAGAGAATCCTACTGACTCTACCAGCCTCTTGGAATAAGGAAAATAAAAGGTTGCAGAGGCCAAAGTATGCCATGAGGTTTGGATGATCTCACTCGTTGGAAATGACTTCTCTGTAGAAATCTTGCAAGTGACTCGAGAAGGACAAATTATAAACCATGCAGTATATATTGCAGAAGTTGGAACAGTCTTTGAAATACGAAGCCATGAATGAATTGATAGAAAGGAATGAATACGTAGAGTGGTGCAGATTTAAAGCCATTTTGGCAAAGTTTTTTAAGTTAAGTAGAATTGACAATTCTAATTTGGTCAATTTGTCCTTTGAAGCAGACAAAGGAAAAGGAGAAAACAGATCATGACATAAAAGCAGTACTGGAAGAGGTGTACAGTGCCTTAGGTGGTGGCAAAGTGCTGGTCCTTTAGGGTTGGTCAGTAAGCTTCAGGCCAGCTGGTTCTGAATGGAAATTCACCATTGCAACCAATACTCTCTTCTCTGATTGGTTAAAGAGCTGTTCCTGTTCAAACCTTCTTTAAAGTACATGTCACAATCACCAGGACATACTCTTCTATGTAGATTCATTTAGGTCAGTGTCTCTCAAACTATAGTCCAATAGAATCACCTGGAAGGCTTGATAAACACAGATTGCTGGGCCCATTTCCAGAGTCTCTGATTGAACAGGGCTGGGATGGAGCCTAAGAATTTGCACTTCTAATAAGTTTCCAGGTGATGCTGTTGCTGCTGGTCTGGGGACCATGCTTTGAAAACCTTGATTTAGCTAATTACAAAAGAATTTACCCACATAATGTATCAATACACGTTTACACTGGCCAACATTTCCATAATCTCAGAAACCAGGAGCCACAGGTTAGCTCCGATTTGTGTCAAAAGTTAAACTTCAGGTACCCAAGCCAAAGGTGTGTAGGCAAGGTGAGGGTGGGGTGGGGAGTGCTTTTTAAAACATAAAACGTTTGGCAAATATCTTTGAGAAACTCCTTTCTATATGTAACATCATTTTGTCCACAAGAATGTCATAAGCAATAATACCAAAATTCCTGCTGAATTAGATACATTTACGTAAAGGACAGGATGAATGGTCATGTTTGTTCTTGCCCAGTGGTTCTCAAACTTGGGCTTGGGCTTTCAGCAGAATCTCCTGAGGAGCTTATTAAAACCAAGATTCCTGGGCCCCACCCTAGAGATTCTGCTTCAGTAGTTCTAGGTGTGCCCCATGGTTTACACCTCTAACATGCTCTCAGATGGTGCTGACGCTACTAATGGGTGGAGACAACTTTAAGAACCACTGTTTTAGGTGGACTGAAGCTTGAGCTTAGTGATCACCCTTTGTAACAGCCCAGAAATCATTTAAAAATGCTAAAAAGTTATAAAGAGGATAATGTTAAAAAGCCTTTATATCACAGCATTGTAAATCAACTATACTCCAATAAAAACTAAAATAAAAAGAATAAATGGGGACTTTCCTGGTGGCACAGTGGTTAAGAATCTGCCTGCCAATGCAGGGGACACGGGTTTGAGCCCTGGTCTGGGAAGATCCCACGTGCCGTAGAGCAACTAAGCCCATGTGCCACAACTACTGAGCCTGTGCTGTAGAGCCCGTGAGCCACAACTGCTAAGCCTGCACTCTAGAGCCTGCGAGCCACAGCTACTGAGCCTGTGTGCCACAACTACTGAAGCCCACAGGCCTAGAGCCTGTGCTCCGCAACAAGAAAAGCCACTGCAGTGAGAAGCCCATGCACCACAACGAAGAGTAGCCCCTGCCAAAAATAAATAAATTAATTAATTTAAAAAAATAAATTAAAAAAAAGAATAAATGGCCATTTAAAAAAGCCTTTATAGCTTCTCTTTAAAGTGAACAAATAGCATATCTTAATATTGCTTCAGATTTGTTTTTCATTTTCAAGTAAAACCATAGAAATAATAGTATTATTTGGCATATTTCAATTTTATTAAATGATGCCATAGTGTATATAATATGCTCTAACTTGCTTTTTACTTAACATTGTTTTAAGGTAAACTCATTTTCTGCAAATCAATATGAATTTATTTAAAAATTATAGCTGGTTACAGCTTCTCCGTTTCTCAGTGAAGGGATATTGCCAAATATGTGCTATTTATAAATAATGTTGTCATGAATATCTTTGTTCTTGTCCCCTTGGGCACATGGTGAAACATTTTTTTGCAGCAGTTCTCAAAGTTTGGTCCAGAACCCCTGAGGGTCCCTCAGACTATCTCAGGGAGTGGCAGATAAAAACGATTTTCATTATAATACTAAAGCATCATTTGCCATTTTCATTCTCATTCTCTCCCAGGTGTACAGTAGAGTTTCCTAAAATCTACATGGCATGTGTTAATGTCCTTGGTCTGGTACCTAATGGATCTTGTGCTTTGTATTCTTGTGTTTCTCAGTTTATTTCAAATGCAGTAAATATTGATAGATAAAACATAAACCAAAGTCTTTTGTGGTCCTCAATAATTATAAGAGGTTCTTGAGACCAGAAAGTTGGAGAACCATTGTCTTAGCGCTGACATCAAATTTGATTATCTGTGGCTTCTACAACTCGCTCCTCACATACTACCCAGGGTTTTTTGGTGTTTTCTTTTCTTCTTATTCTTTTTGTTGTCGTTGTTTTAATTGAAAA